ATTCTAGTTCGTAGTGATCGGTTGGTTCTACCAATGTTGCAGCTGCAACAGAAGGTGCAAGTGCGATGAGGTAGATTCGACTGGAAGACGATCCTTGAATGGTAGTGGGGGGAAGGCGTCGTGTGATCGGTTTGAATCCTAATGCGGCAGCGTAGTAGGTTCTTTGTAACGCGTTTTTGGTACGCTGTGACCAGCCGCATTAGTGACTCCCCTGTGTATGGCGGCGATATGTGGGTATTCTTTTCTAGCACTCAAAGGGTATTGGCTTGCGTCCGGTTTCCTATCTAACTAAGAAAACGAACGAAACATTCCGGATAACCATTTACCCGTAATGCGCTGTTCCCTTAGTATTGTGTCATCTGTACATATTTTTCTTGCCCTGTGAAACAACGTTCGAACCGGGCCCCTCATGTTCTATTGGTGAGAAGAAGTGAAGGTACTGCCCCGGACCAAGTCTTTTTGCGGAAGATGGGTCGTTGGATAGAACCGTCACCTTCACGGGTTATTAAGACATCGAGGAAAGCTAACGAGTTTGCCTTCACAACTTCAAAGGTGAATTTCAAGGATCGTCGTCCAGTCGAATCTACCTCATTGCATTTGCACCTTCTGTTGCAGCTGCAACATTGGTAGAACCAACCGATCACTACGAACTAGAATGGCTGAACACATCCCCAAGTATGTGCGTGACTCTATGACTCGACCCACGCCACACACTCCGACCGCATCACGTAGTCCGACTTCGGCCATCGCACGTCACTTGGTTGAAAGCGGCCACAGGGTAGACGTTACGAACGCGTTCTCAGTTCTGTTACGTCATCGAGACAAACACCGACTAAGGATATCCGAGGCATTATCGATCGCTCACAACAAACCCACACTGAGCATCCAAAAACGTATGACCTTTACCCTTGGCCTTCCCTGGCTATAACCAATCACGTGCATCACACTACACAATCACACACGTCGGTAATACTAACTAGGTTTCTCAATTCGCTTCATTTGTCTATCTTGTTCGACGTTATACCAACGCGACCGATGAGAGTATACAAAAGGAATTCCTCTCGAAGTGTTTTTCTTTTGACTTGCCTGTTCAAATTCAATACGGGATCCAAATGTTTCATTTCTATATGCCTTTCGTCACCGACTTACGGGAAGCGAGGGAGGGGTTTGGGACAGATCACAGTGATTATGGTATTTGAACAGTGGCCCGCCCGTGGTGCCTCGCGCGCGTAACTTTCCGTTTGCCTCACTAAGCTGGTGAAATCCCGTCAAACAATATGGTTGCGTCTAAGCCCTCTGCGAAATTACACCGGTAAAAGGTTGTCAATTCATAGGTCTCGTCAACCTGTAAATCGCGGCCGGGCGGCCGTTCAGCGTGAGAGTTCTGGTGTCAGTGTGATACACCGCTGAGTGCTGTCCGTTGTGCATCGGAGGCACCGAATCCTGTTTTGGGCCACCGAGGTGAGCCTTGTTTATTTAGGGTATTTCCGCCCTTGTCATTTTTGTACACCGGGATTAGGAGAGGTGGACTTCATTGATCGCTGCCAAGCTCAAGATGTCCGAGTATTAAGTGGTGATCAATCGGTTCAATGTGTGTGGGGAGGGTGGATGGATGGGTGGTTGAGCCGAGTGAAGTAAACCTCCACTGTCAAGACAGTATATAATCTGGCTGAGAGTACATACCGTTTCAGGCATCTTGACCTAATGGAAAGGGACAACAAGAACGCCACAGCTATCCGTTAATTGCCATATGCTTCAGTGTCTCCAACTCACCAGTTGCGGAATCTTGGACCCCGACCTGGAGGACTTCTTGTAACTGAACGCGCCGTGTGATTCTTCATGGCTCGTTTCCACGCAATCTGTTGACCTCTACGCGGTTTAGTTCAACCTTGGTGCGCGACTGCGGAAGAGGCGCAGTGCGGTAGACGATGGCTGGACTTATGCAATACGTGCATCGAAGCCGAACGATGTGAATCTGATGGGACAACGAACTATCCAATTACGCGACGCCTTACCTCAGAGTGGCTCGCTCCATGCCAAACTACGTAAAGGTCGGTAGCCGGAAACTTCTGGGCGACGAACATCTTCCACGCGGAAACTTAAGGCCTCAACCATGAAACAGAACTGACCGCCCACTACGCAGTATACACAACGTTAAATCCTCAACTAACCATCACGCCTGCACCACACGTTTCTATCCTGCTAATGGCGCCTTGGAGATGTTGGCCGTTACCTTATTACTGTGCTACCGTAATTCGGTACTCATATACCTAAGTAAGAGAAACGTCCCACTGTAGCTAATTGTTGATCAAGCAGCAGCGATGGGCTAGCAGATACCTAGTCTTGTGGCACTTAGAAAGTGCAAAACACATCGTTTGAAGTTACCTAGACCGAAAGTTTGTCAGGAGCGCTTTGCGCGTACATTCGAACGGGCAAACGGTTTCTTCGGCGTACTTCAAGTCGCACAACTCGTCTCCGGTTGCTCATTCAATATCAGCATTTTGGAGTCCACTAATTACGTTCTCCAGCATTTCGTCTTCGACGAAATTGAACAGGGATGGCGAAATGGGACACTCTTGACGAACACCGCTTCTGGTTTCGAAGGATTTACTCAACCAACCTTAGATCCTTGCGCTACCAGAGTTATGCAAGTGCAGCGACCGCAATAGTCTTGCGTACTTCCCCGGCATTCCTTTGCGAAGCAGCGATTCCAGAAAAGCTTGACGGTCAACTGAATCGGAGGCTCCTTCTAGGCCAAGGAACAGTGCGATTGTTGGCCGACGATGTTTGATACAGTTCGGGGACGCAGAGTGAATATTTGCTCGATGCAACCCCTACCTGGTCGAAATTCTTGCTATTCGCGGAAATTCCTCTCCCTTGAGGGTGTCAGAAGTCAGCG